TATATATATATATATATATATATATATATGATTAAAATAAGTTAAAAATCTCAAAATTAAATAATCCAACTCTAAATTAAAATAAATTAAATATTCTTTATCTGATTAAATGAACCGCTGGAGGCTGAACCTGTTTATCCAAACGTCAACAAATTCCAATTATAAGTTCGCATGGACGAAATTCTACATACCTCAATTTGAAAACTTTACCAATATTTGGAACATCTTTTAAAGTTTGATCGTGTTAATTGGTCATGTTCTTGAAGCCTATCGTTTTATTAATCAACGAGTATTATTCACCATTTGAATAATTCCTGCTCCCCTGAAAAAAGGAAGAATATTTCAAAAATGTTGAAGAGAATTGATGTATGTGTTACATATATTGGCGAGAAATCTTATTATGTTGAAACAGAGTTACAGTCTTGCTTATAAACAGGGGAAAAAAGCGATGATGTTCGTCGTACGTTGAAAATAGAATTTCGCCTCTGTTTTAGTAGTGCACGCCGATATAATATTGAGCGCACGCCTGCCAGTGAATACCAATAAGTTCACATTATTTATTCACGAGACCATGATGCGTGTAGGATTTAAGTTAGATTCAGCTGCGACGTATGACATACTTTTTGTTTCTTCGCGACTACTGTTACATTGGAAATTCACGCGCTGTTTACCGAGCTGATCGATATTTAGCATCCTTTAAAATTGATCCATTAGATAATTTTATTACGTTATTATAGATAAATGTACGTGCAAAAAATGATGCGAATTCGCTATCAGTTTAATTGATAAGTTATTAGTTTAGTCGATAAATTTCGAAAGCCACAATATCGCGAGCTATCGTGTTAAAAATTGATCTTATTAATTAGAAATTCCTCGAGACTAATAAATTTAAATACAGCCTCGCGTGAATGAAAATTTATGTATGCCACTTGACAATGTAGGAATAGAATTCTTCGATATCACGCCATTGGAAAAAGGAGGAAGCAACATTGCTAAGGATACAAAATAAATTCACAAAACGAAAGCTCTATATTTTATCCAAAAGTCAACGAGAATGTAATTCGAAAAGCGCGTTATCGGATTTTCGAATTAACAGCGAAAAAGAACAAAATACAACGCATTTCTCTTTAATTGTGTATATATTGAGAAAAAGAAAGAATGAAAAAGTAAGGCGGCGTTTCGTTTCATTTCAGGTAAATTCGCGTGCAAAATTCTGATACAGGGTTTCAGTTATGCCTTCCCGGTGAATCTAACGATCCCGGTGTCCATATCCTTGTTGATCGCCGCCTGCGGCTTGAGAAACGACGATCCTTGCATATTTCAAGACACGATCCCGTATTATTTGTTCTACGAGTCACCACCTTCGCATTTCCTCAACGATTTCGTGTCGAAGCAGTACGCTTGGGTATGGTTGCTGTGGTTGCTGTCGCAAACTTGGATCACTCTGCACGTCTGGACGCCGAAATGCGAGCGTCTCGCTGCCACGGAGAAACTGTTTGTCGTTCCTATGTATAATTCCCTGTTGATCGATCAATCAATGGGTCTGAACAGGAAGAGAGACGACCAACCGGAAGTGAAAGTAGAGGTAATTCGTTTCTAAAACGGCTATCTGCATGACGAAGTTTTGATTGATTCCCTTTTTATCAGAGTTTTACATTCATATCTTCTCTGTTAATACAATTGAAGGGTTCTTTTCTTTTCTTTTTTTTTTTTTT